TCACTAAGCTAGACTTGATGGAGGCATATTATCGAGTGAGAATTAAGGAAGGGGATGAGTGGAAAATGGCATTTAACTGTCCCCTGAGCTGCTACCACTTCTGAGTGATGCCGTTTGGATTACAGGGGACCCAGCAGTGTTCACGTAGCTGATAAATGATGGATTGGATGAGCACCTGTATAAAGGAGTCCTGGTGTATCTGAGTGATTTATTAATCTATACCAAAACCAAGGAGGAGCATATGAAATTGGTCAGAGCGGTGCTTGAAAAACTGTGAAAGATGCAACTTTAGGCGAAGTTGTCTAAGTGTGATTTCCATAAGACTAGCCTAGACTATCTAGGGTACCAGATTTTTTTAAAATGGCATAGAAGTGGATCCTGGGAAGGTCCGGGCAATATCAGAGAGGGAGCCCCCGTGAATGAGAAGACAATTGCAAAGTTTTCTCAGCTTTGTAAACTTCTATCGCCAATTCATTCCCACATTCGCTCAGATAGCCCTGCCAATCATGAATTTATTGAAGATGAAAAGGAAAGTCAAGCCCAAGCCCAGCCAACCCCTGAACTGGTCACTTGAGTGCCAAGCTGCATTTGAGAATCTAAAGCATCTCTTTGCCACTGAGCTGGTCCTAAAGCACCCTGACTCAGATGAACCTTTTGTATTACAAGCAGTTGCCAGGGATATGGCTATGGGGGCAGTGCTGCTCCAAAAGAATGTAAAAGGGGAGTTGCAACCATGCACCTACACATCCTGCAAGCTTTTGGAGACTGAGAGACAATGGGCTATCTGGGAAAAGGAAACCTACACAGTCTGCTGGGCTCTCCTAATTTGGAGGCAATTCTTGTAAGGCGGTAAAATTCCTTTCAAGATGTGGATGGACCACAAGAACTTGGAAGCACTGAAGGCTCCCTGAAAACTGTCTCCTAAACAAGTTGATGGAGCCAATTCTTCACCTTCACTCTCCGCTATCTACTGGGAGGCTGAAATTTTTTGGTAGACACCCTCTCATGAATGTCACAATACAACAGTGCTTGAGAAGAGGTCATCAATTCCATCATTCCCTCCAGGCAAGTAGCAGCACCGGCCCTCACAAGACAAAGGAAGCATTGCCATCACAGCTGACTGAAGACCCAACGTGACCCCTAAAAGAAGCCTTGGCCAGAGATGAGTGGTTCCAACAACACAAAGATGAGTTGTCCTTAAGGCATGGATGGGGAGCAAATTATAGATCCCATCAAGCCTTGGTATTGCAGCAGAGCCATGATGCAAAGGTGGATTCGTGAAAACCTTTCACTTCGTAAAGGGGCAGTTTTAGTGGCCACAGATGAAGGAAGACATAGAAGCCTATGTAGCCAGCTGCCCTGGTGTGAGCTGTTGTTGAAATGAGGTTGTGATAAAGGGAAAATTGCAGCCTCCTTCTGAGTAAGCAACAGCAACAAGGAATGAGTGTTTGCTGACTTAGTGCCTGATGTGCATAAAGAGTACGCTGATGAATGATAAAGGTATGGGGTGGAGAGGTGGAAAAGAAAGATAAAAGAGCTGGCAAAAAGAAAACTATAGTCTGAAATCTACTATTGAACAATCCTTATTAAATTGTAGAAGAAAACTGCTCCATCCCCTTTTATGTTGCTTGGCCTTGACTTACTGTCTGGGCAGAAAATAAAAGTGGTTTCTCAAGTCAGGAGGGAGTATAGAGAATTGGGGACTACATAATCAAGATGATGCCTTCACACCCACAGGTGAAGCTGAAGAGCTTATTGAGATGGTGTATGGTAGAGAATAGAAGCCTCAAACTATCACTGCCAATTGTGTCTCTATTCACGGTTAGGCATTTTGTTTTGAATATTATTTTGAGTTCTTAGTTTGGACTGCTAAAGTTCCAAAGTGTCTGTTTTTGTTTTTGTCTGTTTTGTTTTATTTCCATCCAGGTTCAGAATGGATGTTTTCAAACCAACTTCAGTTCTTGATTTAAAAGCAACAGTCAGGTTTAGCAGATCAAAATTCTAAAGAAATAATAGACACTAATATAAAGAAGACTAGTATTTTAGGAAGCGAGTGGCATCCTATTGATCTTTATCTCTAAATTGCTAATTTTAAAAAAAAACCCAAGCAAATTTAATTGTTTCTATTAAAGAACAGTGTAGGAAAGCATATTTTGCTTCAAATCCCAGTTCTTTTTGCAAAAGGAATTGAGACAAAATAATGCAAATTAAGATAGGATTTTTAAATATTAGAATACACACGTGTTTGACTCAGTAGTAAAAATGCAAGAAAATATCAGACACGAATATCAAATGTTTGTAATGTCAACTCAAATAAGTATTGTGATGTCTTTTCTGTTTTTCATATTCAATACGAATATTTTCGTATTCTGAATAATCAAATGTACATGATTTCAATTGAAAAACTTCATTCTATAATGCGATATTACCGTTTTTCCTCGAAAATAAGACCCTGTCTTATATTTTTTTGAACCCTGAAATAAGCTCTTGGCCTTATTGCCATGCACTCAAAAGCCTGATTGGACTTATTATCAGGGGTTGTCTTATTTTGGGGAAAACAGGGTATTTATCCACCCTTTATTTATTTATTTATTTATTTTATTAAATTTCTATACCGCCCTTCTCCCGAAGGACTCAGGGCGGTGAACAGCCAGAGGATAAAACACAGAGATACAAAATTTAAAATAGATTAAAACAAATTAAATAATTTAGGCTGAATTTTAAAATACCCCATAATTAAACAGATTAAAATTTGTGTTTAAAATTTAAATTTAAAAAAGGAGAAGATTTAGGCCAGGCCAGCTTGATGAAATAATACTCAGGCTTGGAAAGAAAAACACAGTATTAGAAGACAATAGCCAGCATATTTCTTTTAAATTAACCATTACAGCATGGAGATGAATAAAGATGTGTGGCATTTACACTGACTGCCACAAGTTGTCTCTACCTACTTCGGACTATCTGGATCCATTCCAGTTGGGCTTCAGGCCTGGGTATAGCATGGAAACGGCATTGGTCGCCTTGGTTGATGATCTCTGAGGGCTTGGGACAGGGGTTGTTCCTCTGTTCTGGTCCTATTAGATCTCTCAGCGGCTTTTGATACCATTGACCATGATATCATGCTGCGCTGGTTGGAGGGGTTATGGGTGGGGGGGCACCGTGTTACGGTGGTTCTCCTTCCTTTCTGACCATATGCAGTCTGTGTTGGTAGGGGGGCAGAGGTCAACCCCGAGGCGCCTAGTTTGTGGGGTGCTGCAGGGGTCAGTCCTATCGCCCCTCCTGTTCAACATTTATGTGAAGCCGCTGGGTGAGATCATCCGTGACTTCGGGGTGGATTTCCATCAGTATGCTGATGATACTCAGCTGTACATTTCCACCCTGGGCCACCCCAATGATGCCCTTGAAGTGATGACCCGGTGCCTGGAGGCTGTACGGATCTGGATGGGGAGAAACAAGCTCAGACTCAACCCCTCCAAGACCGAGTGGCTGTGGTTTCCGACGTCCCGTCATAGTCAGTTGGTTCCCTCACTGACTATAGGGGGTGAGATCTTGGCCCCCTCAAAGAAGGTTCGCAACTTGGGTGTCCTCCTGGACTCACAGCTGTCTTTAGAAGACCATCTGACAGCTGTGGCCAGGGGGGGCTTTTTATCAGGTTTGCCTGATCCACCAGTTGCGTCCCTTTCTGGACTGGGACGCCTTGCGCACCGTCACTCACGCCCTCATCACTTCCCATCTGGACTACTGTAACACTCTCTACATGGGCTCCCCTTGAAGAGCACTCGGAGGCTCTAGCTGGTCCAGAATGCAGCCGCACGGATGATTATGGGGGCGACTCGATGCTCCCATGTAACAGCGTTCCTGCGCGAGCTGCACTGGCTCCCGGTGGTCTTCCGGGTGCGATTCAAGGTGTTTAAAGCCCTCCATGGCATAGGACCTGGGTAGTTACGAGACTGCCTTCTGCCTCCAATAGCCTCCCATCGACCAGTATGCTCCCACAGAGAGGGTCTCCTCAGAGTGCCGTCGGTTAGACAGTGTCGACTGGCGACCCCCAGGGGGAGAGCCTTCTCTGTGGGGGCACCTGCCCTCTGGAACGAGCTGTCCCCAGAGATTCATCGGATTCCCAACCTCCGTACCTTTTGCCGTGCCCTTAAAACACTATTATTCCATCAAGCAGGGCTGGCCTAAAATATTATTTTTATGGGTTATTTTATTTTAGATTATTGGCCAAACTATTTAATAATTTTAAATTGTTTTTAACTTTTATATTGTTGGTTTTTTATCTTGGCTGTACACCACTCTGAATCCTTCGGGAGAAGGGCGGTATAAAAATTTAATAAAACTAAACTAAACTAAACTAAACTAAACTAAACTAAACTAAACTAAACTAAACTATTGAATTACACTTTCCAGAAAAAGTGCTTCCTGCAACACAATAAAATGAGATTGAAGAGCTCATTGATGATGTACCTATATTTACAGCAGCTGAATCAAACCTGACTGTTTCTGAATCTAGGCTTCCAAAGTCATCGTTCTTATTAGGAGCCTTTGATGATGATATAAATCCCAACTCCCAGCTCAGCTATAAAATCAGTTTAAATGAACATTTTATCTTGGATATTCAAAACAATGAACAGTATGGTGAATTTTTAGACCTTATGCTAAGAAAATATCTTGATGGAGAATTAATCCATATATATAATTTATTACTCACAGCTACTGATGCAGTCAAACCAGAACAAACTGGAACTGCTCTGTCAGTCATCAATGTGCTGGATGCAAATGACAATGCACCAGTTTTTAATCAAATTGTATATAAAATAAACCTTTTTGAAAATACAAAAAAGGGAACATTAATCATCAATCTTGATGCAATTGATCTTGATGAAGGAATTAATAAAGACCTTACATTTTTCTTTTCTTTTTACGAACCCGTAATCTCTTTTTATCAGGATGGAGTCGGGGCTACTGAATGGAGCTGAGCATTTACTGGCCTGATGCTCTTCCTGGCCTGATGCCCTTCCTGATGCCTACACAGAGTTTGCAGCAAATATTTTCTCTTTGCACCCAGATATTTAATTAGAAATGTTAATCCATACCGTTTAAGTGCATTGATTAATTTAATTTAGTTCCAAGTAATGGACAAATAAGATTAAATGGGGAGCTTGATTTTGAAAGCATTAAATTAGGAGAAATTGGGATACAGGCTACAGATAAAGGCCCCCTTCCAATGAAAGGACACTGTGAGATTCTGATTGAAGTATTTGATGTAAATGATAATGCATCAGAAATATCAATCTCATCTCTGTCAGTACCAATATCAGAGGGCTTCCCACTAGGGACAGTGGTGGCGCTGCTCAGTATTTCTGATAGAGACTCTGGTGGCAATGGACAAGTAAGCTGCTCTGTGTGGCCTCCTGACCTTCCATTCAAACTTACATCCAGCTTTAAGAATGACTATTCATTGGTGCTGATTGGACCTCCGGGTTGCGAAAAGATATCAGAATACATCATAGTAGCAGTAGCCCAAGATGAAGGGAATCCATTGCTTTCAACCATCAGCAACCTGATTGTGTCCATCAGTGACATAAATGACAATGCGCCTACATTCACACAGCATGATATTGCCTTCATGGAGAACAATCAACTTGGTGTTCACATAGTCAAGATATCTGCCTTGGACCCAGACATGGGTGAAAGTGCTCAGGTCAGCTATTGGACAGATGAGACACACAGATCACTGTCCAGCTACATCTTCATAAATTCAGAGAGCAGTAACTTCTGAATTTTACTACCTTTGGATTATGAGGAAGTAAAGCGCATGGAGTTCCAGATGAGAGTAAAAGATTCTGGACTGCCCTCTATATGCAGATTTGACCATGCAAGTCTTTGTTATGGATGAGAATAACAATGCACCTGCAGTGTCTGGATCAGAAGAGATTCCTATTGTACTAGAATATTCTTTGGTGTGTGGTGGGCAAGGTCCATGCTGTTGATGCTGACGCAGGCTACAGTGTGTGGCTATGCAATGAGCTGTCTCAAGCAACAAACAGCCTATGGAAAATTGGGCTATATAATGGTGTGATCAGTACCACAAGTAACTTAGATGAACAGGAAAGCAGTAGCAGTCAGAATTTAATAGTGCTGGTGAAAGATCACGGACAACCAGTCTTGTATGCCAAAGCCACATTTAGTGTGTCACTGACAGTAAATCTCCTAGCTGTTCCTATGGATACTCATCAACTTGGGTTCAAAATGAACTCATGGCTTTTGGCAGACCATTCCAACATCTATTTAACCATTGCCATCTGTTTAGTGCCTAGTTTATTCCTGTTGGTGACCATACTATACATGGCCCTGTAATATCAGTATCTTCCTAATGGAAAAACAACGGTTTGTGCCAACAAAGTTGTTAGCTGGTCCCATTCAAATAGTCACAATCATATCTTGACAGCTACTACCAGGGAGGCTAGTACAAAGTCTCAATATTCATGGGTTTACAGACAGAGAATAAGAGTGCAATAAGAAAGAACCAATTCCAACCTCACTTGGGCAGTCAAAACAAAATTTGTTTTCTTTAATTTGTCTGATTCACTTATGATATTAAATAACCGTGTTTACGTGTCTGTGGTATATGCAGAAATGCATTTTCTAGGGATAGAAAAGTGTTTTATTTAGGGGAGGAAGGGGAGGATTTTAATAAAATGAATTGTTTTTTTCAACTTTTTTGGGGCAGGAAATTGATCGTACTCAAAAATGGCTTTTTTGGTGCCATTGAGTCAGTATTGACTCTGGTGACTGCTTAGATAGGTCCCTGCAGCAAGGTTTTTCAGAAGTGGTTTGTCATTGTCATAGTTTAGTTACCATATTTTTTGGAGTATAAGATGCACCAGAGTATAAGATACAGCTTAGTTTTTGGGGAGAAAAACTAAGGAAAATAGGGGGGAGGGAAATCTGCCTACCAGGTATTCATCTGGCTAACATCCTAAATCTGGTCAGCTTCAGCACATTAGTTTGCTGGTTTTTTATCCCCTGCTTGGGGATAAAAACAGCTTCTAAGGCACAGCTGAGAGGAAGCAGCAATGAGAAAAGCAGGCAAGGCGGGGGGGCAGGGGGGGCGGGAGATCGCTTTACTCGGCTAGCACCTAGTTAGGGCTGAAAAAAAGCTTCAAAAAACTACATTTGGAGTATAAGATACACCCAAATTTTCAGCCTCTTTTAGGGGGAAAAAAGATGCGTCTTATACTCCAAAAAATACAGTACCTTGTTAAAAAGCAGTAACTGAGAGAGGGGCAACCATTTAAATATGAGCCAGCAGTGTGCGGCAGCTGCCAAAAAACCCAATCAGTCCTAGTCTGCATTATCACAGGGACAGCATTGTTGTGAGAATTTCCCTGGGTATCTTTTCTTCTGAGCTGGGAAGAAAATGCAAGTAACCAAGATGCAAAGACCAGCTGCTGGAAAGGAGGCCTCTCTCTCTCTCTCTCTTTTATTATTCCCAAAAACAATACAAAATTTGCTTTTAGGTTAACTGGCAATAAACTGAGCCATCAGTAAGATTTTTATATAATTTTGAGCCCTTTATGAAAGGCATGTGAGTGAGATATATGATTTTATAACCAGAGAAGCAGGAAACACAAGTGTATTACATGTTTTTATGGCCAGAGGAAATATTTTGCTTGTTATCTCCTTTATTTAAAAAATCTCTTTGGTTTTTCTCCATTGTCTTTCATAGGTATAAAACATGGACCTAGGTGTTAGATTTCCATGCCTTTTAAATATCGATTGATTCCAGTGCTGCCAGTGCTTTTTTGCATTGCCGTGTTTCAATTTTATTATTAAGACTAGAGAGGGAGGTCTCCTGGTTTCTAGACTGGTGCATTTACCACTACACCAAACTGGTTCTCTATGGCATATGAACATCTCCAAAAACAAAGTTCTTCCGCCTATTAGGATTTTTTTTCAGTAAGAAATTTATTTCATGGGTGGAGAGGAGGAAATAACTACTATATGAATCTATTAGTGATAAAAATATTGAGTAACTTAAAAATTCAAATTCATGATTCAGTTTTGATAGAAATGATGTTTTCTTTCTTTGATTTATAGCCTGAAAAGCACCCCATTCTTACTGAGAGGATTTTCCTGCTAAAAGTAAACAAATCGTAGAACTTCAGGCTAATTCTGACTTCTATTCTTTAACATGGAAGAGAAAAAATATAGGTGCTGACTGCAACCATTTCTTCTATGTTTACAAAACAACAACCCATCATTACTTTTAGTCCAGTTTACATCCTCCATGCTGGCTTTAAATAAGTAGAGGTAGTTCTCAATGACTCTAATGCAATTTCTGTTGCTAAATGAAGCAGTTATTAGGCAAAACATCATGTGTCATTGATCATGTGACCATGGGACTCTGCAATGGTTGCAAGTGCAAGAAACAGTTGTAAAGTTAGTTTTACAGTGTTGTTATAACTTTGAACCAGCCCTAATCAGGGCAATCATTAAGTGTGAACTACCTGTACAATTTTGTTATATTGTTTTTACTCTCTTTTTGAATATTGTTAGCTGCCTAGGTTTAGATATTCTGAGATGGGAAGCCATACAAATTTTATAAATACATAAATAAAAATTAAAACTTAGAACCATAGAATTTTGGTCCCATTGTCCTAAATTTGGGGCTACTGGTAATAATACGGATGGATGTCCTTTCATTCAGTGTCTGTTTCTCTGAAACAGGAATCCACAACATTGGGAGGCCCACTGTATTTTCTACAATATGACAAGTTCAGAAATGTTGCTGGAATGGAAGTAGAGTGAATGTTAGTGGTAGTAGTAATAGTAGTACAGTACATTTCTCTATCGATTACAGTGATAGTATATTTCTGCACTGGGCAAGAGATAGGACTAGGTTGTCTCCAATTCCAAGCCTTTACATTCTGTGATATTATATTTATTTCATTTGACTCTATGTCAATTTATGGATACTTGATAACAATTATCTTAGGATAAAATTGATGTGAAATTGTAAAAACTGAATGTTACTAATAGGGTTTTAAAAAAATTTATTCAAGAAACATCTTCATCAGATGAATTGTTTTTTTTTTATTGAAAAATTTTACAAAAAAGAAAGAATTCCCCCCCGTTCCCCCACCCTTTGCCCCCCTTCATCCCACCCTCCCCCCCGACTTCCCAGAGCAAAATACAAGGTATTTCATTTAGTCAAACATAAACTAGATTAATCTACTTATCCTCAAAGTACTACCTCCCCCACTGAAACCTTAACTCTACTACCGATAACCAAATACTTTAAAACTAACTCATTCATAAGCTATTTGATATTTTCTTGTCTGATACTTATTTTGAATATAATCAATCCATCTTCTCCATTCCGATATGTATCTTTCTTGCGTGTGGTCCTTCAAGTACGCCGAGATTTTCGCCATTTCTGCTAGGTTTGTTACTTTCAACGTCCACTCTTCAATAGTAGGCAAAGAGTCTTTCTTCCAATATTGAGCTACCAGCAGCCTAGCTGCTGATATTAAGTTCAAAATCAATTTAGTCTCTGAAACTGTACAGTCTGTAGTTATACCCAATAGAAACAATTGAGGAGTAAATTTCAACCTTCTTTTCAAAATGTTCTGCATCACCCACCAAATTTTTATCCAAAATGCCTTGATTTTCTTGCAAGTCCACCATATATGATAATAGGTTGCATCATTACATTCACATCTCCAACATTTAGCTTGCAAATTCGAGTACATACATGATAATTTCTTAGGATCTAAGTGCCATCTATAAAACATTTTATAAAAATTCTCTCTCAAATTTTGTGCTTGCGTAAATTTAACGTTTCTGACCCAAATCTTTTCCCACGTTTCCATCATCACTGGTTCCTGAAAGTTTTGTGCCCATTTTATCATACAGTCCTTAACCAATTCCATTTCTGAGTCTATTTCCAATAATGCATTATACAACCTTTTAATGTGCATCTGACTTTGATCTCTAATCTATTTCACCAGATTTTCCTCATTTTGCATAACCCCAATTTTTTGATCCTCCCTCCATCTAGCTTGAAGCTGACCATACTGAAACCAAGTATAAATTATCCCTTCTTCTTTTAATTCATCTAAAGGTTTCGGTTGCAACTTACCCCTTTCCAAAAGAAGATTATAAGTAATCACCTCTATTTTTTGCTCTATATTTATATTTTCTATTGCATGTCTGGGATTTGCCCATATAGGTATCTTATAGTTCAGCTTATATTGGTACTTTTTCCAAACCCTCAACAATGCATTTCTGAGTATATGACCCTTAAACACTTTATCCACTTTTTTTTCATATAACAAATAAGCATGCCATCCATATAACAAATCATAACCTTCTATATTTAACATTCTTTCTTCAGTTAAGTTAAACCAATCACTAATTTGTGATAAAGCTGTTGCTTCATAATACAATCTTAAATTAGGCATTTTAAGACCTCCTCTCTCACGTATATCCTGTATAATTTTCAGTTTCACTCTTGGTTTCTTCCCATCCCAGATAAAAGTATTAATCCCTTTCTGCTATTCTATCAGATTTCCATCTTTTTTAAGCACTGGTATCATTGGAACAAAAATAAAAACCTAGGTAGTACATTCATTTTTATTGCTGCTATCCTTCCCAATAGTGATAGTTGTAACTTTTTCCATTTTTCCATTTCTTTCTGTACTTTTTGCCAAAGAATTTCATAATTATTTTTAAACAATTTCGTATTTGAGGCTGCAATATTACTCCAAAATACTTAACCTTTTTAACTACTTCAAACCCCGTTATTCTCCCTAAATCTTCTCTTTGAGTTATAGTCATATTTTTAGTTATCATCTTTGTCTTGTGTAGATTTACTTTAAATCCA